ATCCAATCAGGGAAAGGGTTTTCTTAGGTGAGTGTGATGGCAGGGCAGAAAGACGAAGGAGTTGAGGATATCCAGTGAATGATCCAAGGAAGTGATCATATTGATGGACTGTGAACCCTAAGCCAAGTAATGAGGGAAGTGAGGTGAGACAAAAGGTAGTAGAGTCAATGGATGGAGGGCTAGTGGATGGAAGGTCAATGAATGGAGATTGTTTTGGAACAAAGAATCATTGGAGCCAGGACAATAGTTAGGGCTGTGAGCTAGAAAGGTAGAGGGAGATGTCAGAGGGAAGGGATGCTTGGGACTGAGATTTTGGAGGGGGGATGTTAGTGGTATTAACGGGGTCTTGGTCTGGTGAAGGATTCATAATGTCTACCTCAAAGTATTATGAAGAGCAAATAAGATATTTTTGTGAAGCACAATGTCAGCCGTGGAGGTGTCCCACTCAGATCTCCTTTTAAGAGAGCCTGAGGTAGGAATCATGGTTGACTGATATCCTCCAGCTGCTGCCCTGTGAAGGGTGAGGCCGTGCTTGCCCTGGCCTTTTCCCAGCCAGTGACTGAGCATGGCAGGCGTTATTAGTGCTGGCCCATTCCTGCCCAATGGAGGAGTCCTCCAACAGGCAACTTTGATTTGGTCCCTCCATATTGGCCTAGCTGAGGCTTTCTCAGAACTGTGCTGTGGTCTGAAGCTCTTCCTACCAATCATTCCTTGCCTCTCTTTTCACAGGTGTCAGATCAGCATGGTGGTATAAAGGCTTTTTCCCTACACCTGCTTCCTTCCCATTTATTCTTCAGAAGCATTCCCCTCAGTTAATCTCTTGCACACACTATCTTGCTGTCTGCTTCTTGTAGGACCCACATTCACAAAAAAAACTTAGGGTAGAGCTTGACACATAGTAGATGTTGAATAACTATTAGCTTTTGGTACTATAATTAATAGAACCATGCACTACTCATATAAACTTTACAATTATTTCCTCTTAGTTTTCTAGTAAACTTTTTTTGGAAAAGTCTGTTTTTTCTCTCAGCTGAACCAGAGTGAAAACGGATTTCTCTGACCTCACCCAGGCTGAGGAAAGGACCTGGTATTGCCCCAGTAGTCATCACAGAAATGGCAGCACCTGACTTGGCTCAGGACCCAGGAGATTGACAGAGCCAGGCAAAGAGAAAATAGAAACTGAGCAAGAGAGAGAGAGAGATGGAACAGCTGCTGGATAATTCTCCTTCAGATGTCCTCTCATCGAAACATTTCAATTCATGTGGCAGAAATTGCACCCCTTTTTTTCTTTGTCTGGCACCTGAATCAACTTTAAACGACTCATCTTTGAGGAGGAGAAGGAGACAGAACACAACAGAGCTTTCCTATTCAAACTGTCTCTTTTCCTTTTTCTTACACTCAAACGGAAAAGAGGTGTCTGTCCCCCAAATTAATTACTACAGGCAAGGTCTGGAGAAAAGCCTTTTTGTTGGTTAGTTGTCAGTCTGGAACAACCAATCACTTTAGTATTCAAGGGAAGAACCATCTGCAAAGTAAATAAATGGACCAGACTCATAGCTTCAGACAAACAAACATCCATCCATCCATCCATCCATTCATCCATCCATCCATCAATTCATTCATTTCACAGATGTTTGTTGAGCACCCACTTCAAGCCAGGCATGTGCTGGGTACCTGGGTTAAAATACTGAGTTAAAAAGAGGCAGTCCCTGCCTATGGAGTTTTTAATATCAAAATCTAGGCAAGACTGTAGAAGAAATATTAAAGTTAGACATGATTTCAAAGAGATTAAACTGGTTATGGGGTCTAGTTCAACAGCTTTTCTAAAACAAAATGGGACATGTAGCTAATAAGTAGTGGAGTCTAGATTCAAGCCAGATTCTTAATCATCACTGTATCTTGATGTATAAACCCAACACACATCAACCAGAGTAGGATCCTTTGATACAGAGACCTATCTGTAAAATTAAAAGTATTTTGTCATGTGAGGGATCATCCCTTTTTATTTTATTAGTTTTTAGAAAATTAGATTTGACTTATGGATTTTCTTAAACAGAGCACTGTCAAAGTCTATGGAAATCAGGACCAAATAGCTGAACAAGTTAAGCCAGAGAGGCTTCGTCTCTCACAGGCTGAAGCCACAAGTTTCTGCATCGAGAGAGAACCACTGTTACATTCAATAGCCTGAACTAACAAATACATACACACAAAAATTAAGCAGCTTGCATCCTTTAACTCTTTCCTAAGTTGAACTGTCAGTTACTAATTGCAACTTTAAAATCAAGATACTTGTCTGTTGATTAATAACTCCTTTTTTCTCCCTTCTAACCAATGGGCATAAGCTTCAGTTAAGCAAGGTGAATAAGTTCTAGAGATCTGCTGTTCAACACTGTAACTATAGCCAACAATACATACTATACACTTAAAAATTTGTTAAGAGGGTAGATCATATGTTAAATGTTCTTGCCACAATGAAATAAAATAAAAAATCAGGATATTTAAGTATCTGGCCAAGTGACTGGCTAAACCACCAATCAGAAAAATTGAATTAGTTAAGAGAAGAAAACAGTAAGACTTGTAGAACTGAATAGTGCCTTGGAGTTTACTTGATTCAACCCTTCTCCCTTACCCCAGCCTCCTGGACATACATACACACAGTATAAATTAAGGCCCAGAGCAGATAAGTGATAAAATCTCTCCAGGACCAGAATCCATAATTCTCAACAACATAATGTCTTTCAAAGGGTGAAAAGCGGCAATAATATATTTCTCAGATCCCTTCCCTCCTCTTCATTTCTCCTAGCAGCAGGGGTCACATCCTTGAAAGCTCTTTCCTCCTAACTGGTATCTCCCATCCTCGCTTATCCTAACATTGCTGGATGAATTATAAAGCACAATTTGATGTTTTCCCTCCCTTGCTCAAAAATCTTCAATGTCTCCCCATTATGTAAGAAATAAAGAATAAAATCTTTAGCCAAGCATTCAAGGCACTCAACCATTTGGTTCTGTCTTTTGTTTTTTCTCCTTTTTTCTCTTTAATGTAATCTTTAATCCAATCAAACTCAACTATTCACTCTTCTTTGTGTGCATAACCTGAGCTTTCTTGCTTCAGTCCTTTGCTCCTGCTGGTCTTTCTCTCCTGCACCCCGACCCTGGATATCACATCAAATGTCATTTAAGGCCCAGTTCAAATGCCAACGAAATTTTTCCAGAGCCCTCCCAACCAGAAGTCCTCTCTCTCTCAGTTCTCGTCCACATTTTATGGTAACTATCTCTGTACAGCTCATCTCTTCGTAGTTGTTAAACTAATAAATTAATGGATATATGAGAAGAACGCATCTTTTAAAATGTGTGTTTTTTAATCTACTAACGCTAATTATGCTTTCAGTTTTTAACTAAGAGGAGAAAACATAATGACTATGAGAAGGTTGCTTTTAAAAAATAATTTTCAGAGGGCTGGCCTGGTGGCATAGTGGTTAAATTTGCATGCTCTGCTTCGGTGGCGCAGTGTTCACAGGTTTGAATCCCAGGTGCGGACCGACGCACGGCTCATCAAGCCATGCTGTGATGGCATCCCACACAAAAAATTGAGGAAGATGGACACAGATGTTAGCTCAGGGCCAATCTTCTTCAGCAAAAAGAAGATTGGCAACAGATGATAGCTCAGGGCCAGTTTTCCTCATCAAAAAATAAATAAATAAAATAAATAAAAACATAAATAAATAAAAAATAATTTTCAATTTTTCAATTATTCTACTTATATCACACACGCAGAACTGCCTGAAAACTTTCCTTCCAATCTCTATTCTAAAATACCAGTTTTATAAGTATTTAAGCTTGTTCCATTCAATCGTAGAATGACAATATTTTACAAAGAAAAAAACCTTCAAAAGTCATCTCATCTCATTCATGCCCCCTTCCCAACCCATACCTAAAATCTCAAGAAGATGAGAACTTATCCTATTTTAAGTCTCTCCTAAGATAAATTGCACAAATTTCTTGGTAATCCATTCTGACGTCTCTTGACCCTCACACAGTATTACTCCATAATAAGTTAAACTGAGTTACTTTATACTATTATTTCATTTTGTCTCTTGAGAGGCAGTATAGCACGGTGGCTAAGACACATGGCTTCTGAAGTCAGACTTTCTGTCTCTGGGAAAGTTATTTAACCACTCTCTAACTCAGTTTTCTCATCCATAAAATGGGAACAATAATAGTACTTATTTCATAGGATTTTTGCAAGGATTTGATGAAATCTATTGTAAAGTATTTAGAACAGTGTCTGAAACCAAGTAAATGTTGCTATTATTATTTCTTCTTATTTTACTTTGAATAGAGATGGATAATAGTTTGATACATAGTCATTCATACCTGGAGGTTTTGAATAAATGAATCTTTTTCTGGGCTGAATAATCCCAGCTCCTTTATGATATATATATATATATATTTTTTTTTTTTTTTTTGCAGAGAAGGTTTTACCCTGAGCTAACATCTGTTGCCCATCTTCCTCTTTTTTTCTCTTTCTTCTTCTCCCCAAAGCTCCCAGTACATGGTTGTATATCATAGTTGTAAGTCCTTCTAGTTTTCTGTGTGAGCCACTGCCACAGCATGGCTGCTGATGGATGGTGTGATTCCGTGACAGAGAAACAAACCCCTGCCATGGGGGTGACAGCATGGAACTTTAACCACTAGACCATCAGGCCTGGCTCACACTGTTTTTTTTACCAGACTAATTTTCCAATCTTTTAAAAATTCCTCCTGTGGCCCTTCATCTTAGTGCAGTGAAAAGAGTATTTTTGGTATTTTGCCATTACAACAAGGATTTTTTAAGCAAGCCTCTAAAAGTCCTGTCCATTTAACACATATCTTTTTAGTCACATGCTAGTCACAAGGAGCATATAACTTTGCACAAGACAGGCAAGAGGCCTGCCTTTATGGGGTATACAAATTCTTACTTGCAGAAACAAATTCTTTTTGCCATTAACCAAATCACTTACCACTCTTTCGAATTCTTTCTTCCAATACATCAGCGTGTCCCACTGGAAGTTTCTTATTGAAAATCTCAGCTGAACGGAGGAACATAGCTTCAACTGCAGACCCTTTCAGCAAAGCAATCTGATCTTCATGGTCCAATGTCTGAAATCCTAGTTGAAGATGATAACCAAATCAGTATCAAAGAGTTGTGAATCCTGTATAACAGTATTTCATCATCACTGTCATCCGCATTGATAAAACATGTCCATATAGTGATTTTGTAATTGTTTTAAGATTGAGTAGTTGAGTCAATAAGTGTTTATTATACTCTGCCAGATAGAAGCTGACTTCTTTTATCTTCACTGAGTAGGATTTTTTGAACAAGTTGGACAAAAAAGGATGTCAAATCCACACCAAATATATACATTATGGAAGAGAGAGTCTGATTCTGATAAAGCAACCCTCAGAAATTAGAGGCAAGCAGATTCTCTTTGAGCAGCTAATTTAGTCACATCTCACGTTACAGGGTCAACTCTGCATAAGAGAAGCATCCACAAGCCAGAAAAATGTTTACGTGTATCCAGAGGCTGAAAGGAATATTTGACCAACTCATGAGTCCTTAGTCAATCTGGAGAATGGGTAGCATTTCCCAAAAAAACCAACCAAAGTCACAATGAGGTATCTGCTCTGAGCTCAGCACTGCACCATGCAGAGTGGGGAAAGTCAGAGAAATATGGGAAAGAATTGATAAACCGAAGGAATATAACATCACCTGGAAAATCTGAAGTCCTTATCCAAGTTTATATGCTACAGTCCCCAGCAACCTCTCTGACCTCATTTCCTCCTCCTCCTTCCCCTCATTCATTGTGCTCCAGCCATACTGACCCCTGGCTCTGCTGTGAGCACACAAGCCTGCTTTAGCCTCAGGGGTGAATGCCGTTCCCTAGCTATCCCCCTGCCTCACTCCCTTACTGTACGCAGGTCTCTGCTTCAAGGCCACTCTACCTAAAATAGTACTCCTGAGCACTCACCAGTCCCAACCTGCTTCCTTTTTATCACAGAACTTACCACTACCTGACCTAATATTATAAATCTATTTGCTTATTTGTTAATTGTCTGACACCTCTACTGGAGTATAAGCTTCTTGGGGGCAGAGACTTTGTCTGTTTTGTTCACCTTTGTATCCCCAGTGCCTGGCACAGAATTGGTATCCAAGAATTATTTGTTGAATAATTGAATGACTGAAGGAATGAATGGAAAACAAACACAAGCTCTCATGCACATGTGTACACACACAAACACAACATGAATAGAGATAAACTAATGCCTTCAGAGTCTAAATGGCATAGGAAAGTATTAAATAGCAACAGCAGTTTAGAGAATAGAGTAATGCTAAAGATTAAGAATCACTATCTTAGATAATCTAAGAGCTCTTTGAGGGCAGGAGCCATGCCAGGTCTCCAGCACCCTGGACAGTGCCTGGCACAGGTTATGCTCAGTGAACTGCAGAATGAAATGACTCAACTCAGTCTTTCACGAAACGCTCTTTTATTATTGGTATTATATCACTATTATTACTGTTTGTGATGATGTTATAATTTCTATGATTATTGTTAAAATGATTTTTTTTTCTTTTTCAAAAGTTTTTTTGCTTTTATTTCCTTCTGTATTTTTAATTTTTTCCTTCTGCTTTACTTATCAAACACACATTAATTGCACTTTCTCTCCCTCAGGAACTAGGCCAGGAACTGGGAATGAAGAGGGGTGTACAATACTTGCTTTGCTTTCAGATAAGCTACCTTCCTATGAATAAGATTCTTTTTTGTCTTCAATTATTTCTTGGTTCAATACCAACTGACCATTTGAGCTGAAAAATCTTTTCCCATAAACAACCAAGAACATCATATTCTCTCTTTCCCACTCCTCCCCCCCACCCAGTTTTCACTCTTGTGTAATCTTTTTTTTGATCAAGATTGCCTTCAGCTTAATTAGCACATAACAAATTAAGTTTCTCTTTTATTGTTAATAAAGAAATGAGAGAATGTTTATGTTTCAATGATAAGGAGAACTTTCTCCCCACATTTTATGAGTTTTATGTAGCCTTATGTCTATTCATGACACACTTAATAAAATAATAGCATAATGCCAGCAAAAGAAGGCAAATAACATGTCTAATTAAAATCCTATGTCTGAAGTTACCTTCTGTAATTTAATATTAGAGAATTATGCTGCTATACGAAGTATTTATTAAACTTTTCTAGACCGTGGAATTCTAATGTACTAATGTATTTTTTTCCCCCAAAGCCCCAGTAAATAGTTGTATGTCATAGCTGCACATCCCTCCAGTTGCTGTATGTCGGATGAGGCCTCAGCATGGCCGGAGAAGCGGTGCGTCGGTGCACGCCCGGGATCCGAACCCGGGCCGCCAGCAGCGGAGTGCACGCACTTAACCGCTAAGCCACTGGGCCGGCCCTAATGTATTTTTAAAACACTGAAACAACTTAAACCTATTGGCTTAGATTGCACTGATAATGATGCTGAAAGAATTAGGGGCTGGGAGATAAGAATCTTGTATTCCAGTTTCTATACTGGCACCCTCAGAATGATGGTGAATAAATCCTTCTCCCTCATCTCACACATGATGAACTCTTGTTCATCAAGTCCTATCAACTTTTGAATCTCTCTTTATTTTGTTTCCTCTTCTCTTTCCCACTGCTCTTCCTTTATTTCAAGCCCTCTTGCCTGGACTGGTGCAATAGCATAGTAACTGATCATCCTTGACTCTAGTCTCTCCCTGTTCAAACCGTTTTATACAAACCTGATGAAGCCATATCTCTACAATGTAAATCTCATCACTTCCCTCTCAAAAAGAAAAAGCCACCAAAAACTCTACCAACCAGGGAACAAAGACTAAATTCCTTAGTTAGGCCCTAATCTGCCTGGTACCAATTTATCTATGTCTAACCAAGAAGCCATAGACATTATGCTGCCACACTGAAATTTCTCTCCCATCTCTAATAATCCTATTTTTGTTCATTCCTCATTACATTTTCACAAGCAGATCTCTGGACTTGGAATGCCCTTTCTCTTCCACACCACCTGGAAAACTCCTTTTCTTTTAGACTCAACTCAAATGTGATTCTCTCTGAAGTCTCCCTGTCTTTCTCAGATACAATTAACAACTACTTCTTCTTTGTTCAAACAGCACTTTGTATATATATTTTTTATTATATCCTTTAATCATTCTCCTTGAAGGTAATAGCTAGGTACTTACTATAGAGTAGGTATCAACAAATGCTTGTTAAATGAATAAATGGATGAATGACACTTTCACAAAGTCTCAATTTCTTAGTATACCAATTTGGAAGAATTATTTAAATAACTTTAAATATCTAATATTTCATGTCTATAACAGTTACACACGTTAATTAAAATCATGTATGAGATGATTCTCATTTTACAATGAACAAAGCTGCCTCTCTCAATGTCACAGGAATATTGCACAGTGTAGCAGAGAAGTAACTACATGTAAAAATACCTGGCAGTTTTTTTGTGAATTCTACGAGAATCTGTACGTGACTGGTAGCCATTTCAGTTAAAATGAGAAAATTTTCTTCTGCATTGAATTCTTCCTTTAACTAAATTTTAAGAAAAAAAGCAAATGATTAACAGGAAGATAAAAGGATAAATCAATATAAAATCATTAGACTAAAGAACCAGATTTAGATAGTAAAATTTAAAACCTAGCTCATATTTCTCAGATCCCTGGAGAGAAAATACTATTATCAAGATAGGTGTGAGACTTCTTACTCCTTAATTGTTTAACGCTGCTAAAAATTTAAATGTATAACAAATTCTCAGCTCTAATCATTTCAAAGTAAGATTCATATATAAATTCTACCTCCAAGGTGGTAAAATCTCCAGAAAATATTAACTTTTAACCCATGTGTTTTCAGATATTGTACGTACAATTTTATTTGTGATTTCCTGAGGCATTCTCTGTTTGCTATATGAGTCCATGATATAATTTAGAAGGTTCTGTTGATCTGGGGTGAGTTCAGTTTTCTCCTACACTGGCAAAAAAATAAAAGGCGTTAGGGAGGGTCATTATAAAGCATTTTTCCTATATATGCATTCATCTGGAGTAAACCACTAGTGAAAATTGTTGAAAAAAGCTCTAAATATGGCAGGAACTATATGCTCTGTTATAATATATAATTGTTTTCTCTGGGTCCTTAGGCAAACCATATCACATTTCACTAAATTTGTCCCAAGTTGCTCATTTTCCAATCTGTAAAATAGGGATAACAATATTCTTTTCATATATTTCTTGGGAATAAATAATAGTCTGGATACAAATCCTATTGAGCCCATTCATAGAGAAGTTCAGTGAAAGTTCAAGGTTTAATCATAACTCGGGAAAATTTCACACATATGAAATAGGGAATCCATTTAAGGGTATTCATGTAGAGCAGGGTCAAAAAACTATGACCCATGGACCAAATCCACCTGGTTTTGTAAATCTGTTGGAACAAACCACACTCATTTGTTTATATATTAATCACACTAAAATGGAAGACTTGAGTAAATGTGATGGATACTCTGTGGCCGAAGCCTAATATACATGGCCCTTCAGAGAAAAAAATTTGTGGACTCCTGAAGTAGAGAGTCATCAATCTGGACAATTCAGACCCCAAACATCTCTTTTCCCTTTATTACCATCTCTTGAAGAGAGTGAATAATTGTGTCAACTCTTTACTTCCTAATACCAAAGTGTTATTGATGAAGCAAATTAAAACTTTTATATAAAATTATTTGAAAAACTAAATGTTAATGAAGGTTTCTTTGTCAGTAGTAAAATAAATATTGAGAAGGGTTTGACTTGAACAATCATGGATTATTGGTTTCTCAACTAATGACAAATTAAAATTCCTCCACATGTCCTATGCATTCACACAACGTGTTTAGCTAAGCACCCAAGATAATGTTCCTCTATTTTGTCCCAAGTTGCTCAGAGGATTTCTTGAGTAATTTGTGACTTCAGTGGGAAGGGCCTTTCTCCATTGGTCCACAGACGTGTATTCACCTTGTTTAACCCATTGATAAGGACTAACCCACAAGCCTCTATTGAATCCACATCCTCCTCAGTTTGAGCCTTCCTTCTCAACAACAAGAAAAAATTGGTCCTCAAAACTCAGTTTGAAAAATCCATTTTATACATCGAAACATTACTGGTAACTTCTGGGTAGTAGGAGTGGAATGGAGCCAGGGAGAAGGAGATTTTTCACTTTTTTACTTTATACACTGCTATTATGTGAATTCTTACACTGAAGCATGAATCACTCTCTTGATTAAGAAGAAACTCATTTATTAATGCACAATTGAAATGAAATTCTGCTGATGGCAATGGTTCGAATTTGAAAGCCTCCCAGCCAGATCACTACAAGCCCTGAAGATCAGCTGCTGCTGACTTTGGCGGACACCATTGCATGTTATTACCCTGCATGACTTAGTTGTCGAGGTCACTTGTCGCAAGTCCCGTCCTTCACTGTCTTCATTAATGGCTTGATCTGCATGCTGCTTCACGTTTTTTCTCAGTCGTTTAGATTTACACTGAATTTCGGTTAACAAACCTGAAAAAATAAAAATAGAGACTTCACCAACCACAGGAAGTGCTGTTGGGTATGTGGTCACCAGGCAGCTGCTGTGTAGTTGGCTCAGAAGATCTCCTATGCAATTAGCTCCTAGACACAGAGCTAATTCTAGCCCTTCGGACGTTTTAAGACTTGGTCTTGAACAAGAAATTTATCCTCCGTGAGTCTCAGTTTCTTCATTTGTAAAATGGGAATATCTATCTTAACATAGTTTTGTGTAAATTAAATATAATCAGATCATTTTTTAAAATGAGCTTTATACAAAGGATTTGTAATACCAAACCATTGTACAAATGCAAGGTATTCAGTCAATAAAAAGGTGAGTGACACTCTCTCTATTCCTGGTCTAGGAGACCTTGAAAGCTAATGTTTCAAAACATGGTAGTATTATTATTTTTCATCCCTGTTTACATAACTGTACCATAAGAAATATATTCAATTTCATATTAAACACATAAGTAAACATGTTGAATAAAATAAAAATCAACATCCTTTAGGGAAAATTTTTAAATTGTGTTAATTTTCAGAACCGTATAAATTATTGAGAACATAGATTACAACAAAAATAACTCAAGGAGGCTTTGAAATTTTCTTCTGAGTAATCACACAATATCATCATTAATTTACACTTACACAGAGCTATAAAATATAATGTAGAACCATCTTCCATATTCCCATTTAACTTCCTTATTCTCTTAATGTTAATGAACCAAAGTTCCAGCAATTTCTTTGTCCAGGGAATTTATTTTATAAGAGCCTATGAAAGCTCTGCATCTGTTACTGGACAAGTCTGTGTTCATAAATAATATTACAGACTCTTGTATATGGAGTCATGAAAAACATCCTCAGTGCTTCAGTTGAAACAATTTCATATTTAAGTGATGAGCAACATGAACTACCCAGTATCGAAGTAAGTGTTTCCATTGCAAGATTGGATTCCAGCAGCCGCCTCTACCACAGTCTCTTGTTTCACATATGCTGAGAGGAGATTGTGATCAGCCACTATAAACTTTCATCCACCCAGAACTGGATTATTTACACTGACCTATTTTTCCCCTTCCTGCACACATTATTTCTTTGAGTCCATCCCAGTTGCCTGTACAGTTTGGGAACAATAGAACCGGAGTCACTTTCCAAAGGCTTTTATTTCATGTGGCATTCCCTCCCTAAATGTATCATCTCCTTGGTGACATTTGTTTGTCTATTTGTGTTTTGAGGAGGAACAGGACATATCTCATAATCTGAGTGGTCTGTAGAGTTTGCAGAATGAAAAATTAATTGTGTTATATAATAGAATGCATCCAACTTTTAATGGAGATTACGGTTCCTCACAAAGCCAGCAGTTAATACAGTGTCTCTTTATCAGATCAAAGGACCAAATTATATTAAAACTCGGAGTAGTTAATTTCCTGTGTAAACCTATACAAATTGATTCAAAGCTGCACTAAGAGAAGGATTCTTAATAAAATGACTTGGTTTAAAACTCTATTTAGACAATTCAGAGGCAGTTATACCTTATAAAGCATTCTTATTTTTTCCCACAACTGTGAATTTTTATGCTAATTAAACAACAAATCATAAGGATATTAAATCAAATTTGGAGGAAAGTTAAAGACTGTCATTCTTGGTAGCTTATTAAAACACATTATTTTAACTGTATGTTAATGCCGCTTCATTCTGCGTATAATTCATTGCAACAATAAATAACAAAACACGTCCATTTCTTTCAGGTGAATAAAATGCTCTTTAACTGACAGTTCAGACAATTTCAGTGGCTCATTACCCTTTTCAAGAACTTAGATGGCTTAGTAAATCCCTTCTTTGTATGTGAAGTACCATTCTAATCATATGAGTTACCTGACATCTGCCTCCTTAAGAGATTTTTAGTGGAATTTAATTGCTTGATGCAAATACCTGTATACATACATTCAGCCAACATTCCCATCTCTTTGCATTTCCTTAGCCGACACTCTTGGCACTTTCTTCGCATGTACATGTCCATCACACAGTTGCCCCCGTTTTTACACTTGTACACGGCATTTTTGGTAATGCTTCTCCTGAAGAAACCTATGGAAGAAATACAGAAAGGAGTAAAAAGGCTCCTAACAACTTCTACTTGGGAAAACACATAAGGATTGAGAGAAGCCAGAGCATTTTCTCATGAACTCCTGGAGAACACCCAGGCAATCCTTGAGCATCCTGGTGACAAAGGTGCTTTCAACTGCACTGCCTCTTCAGGAAGGCTACTGTTTTTAATTTATCTCTCAAAAATAAAGACGTTTGAATAATAGCCTCTCTTAGGAAAAATCTTAGTTTGTTGCTTAGATTACTTTCATTACATCTTTATTGGGAGGAAATTATGTGCCAGTGAGCTCTATGTGTTGGTGGTACAAAGGCAAATAAGTCATCTCTGCTCTCTTACAGTTTATAGGCTGGTTGAGGGCAAAGCCATGCAAACAACAAAACAAGTGAAATTCAGTGTTCCTGGGCTGTGGTAGGGCAGAGGACTAGGGCAGAATGGTCAGTTCTGGATGAAAATGTCAGACTTGGAAGTGAGTGTTGAGCTAAGTCTTAGAAAATGAGTTGCTGTTTACCAAGCAGACGGGGAGAGGTCACATTCAAGGTTTCAATTTAGTACTTAATATGCCCAGTTTGGTGTAATAATAAAAATGCCAACTGTGATTTAAAAGCAAACATCTCCCCTGAGAAGGTGGAACCACAGCTGCAGCCTGCCACAGTTAAGCTGTTCTAGAGTCTGGGAGGGATGTGACTGGCTTCCTTTCTGCTTCTTCTTTTCTCCACTCTCCACCTCTACTCTCTCCCCTCTATCTGGCGACCCACAGGTCCTAATACTTCCAGAGTCAATGTGGAGTGGGGAATAAGGAGAGGATGGTGGGAGGTGAGGGAAGAAGCGACAGGAAAGCACTTACTTGCCTGTTGTTAGAAGCTGGCTTATGCCCGGCAAGTTTCTGTAACTGATTCTCCCTTGAGTTGAGTTCTTTAGAGAATTCCTCCCATCATTGGGATACTTTTCTCTGCAATTCCTTGATGAGGCCAAAAACATCTCTATTCTAGCCCATGGCTTGTTTCTTCTTCTTCAGCATCTAGAAATTTGGCAATTCACCTCCGTCCTCTTGACTCCAAGGTCCCTCCATGTGGCCCTCTCAGCATGGACTTAAGATAACCCCATGCGGGCTTTCTCTGGTCCAACAAACTGTGGGGCAGAGAACTCTCTCCCACTTATCCATAAGCAGTCAGCCCCCCTTCCTCTTGATCTTTCAACTTCTCAGGTGAAAGTCAGATGCAAGTCTCTCATCCCCCTCAGCTTCAGGGGATACATACCAGTCTCCTCAAGCGATGCTGTTGAAGGCCCTTTCATTGCGCCTCGGGCAGCAGGGCCTCCTTAGTATATAGATTTTACCTGGGGAAGGGGGGACACCTTTTCCTAATTCTTACAAAAGTACTATACTTCCCAGTGGTGACCCCCAGGGGGAGACACCCACACCCTACCTCCACTGCTTTGCAATGATGATGTGAGATTCATAGCACACTAGTCACATGCTCCAAAATCTCTGAAGACTGATCTATAACTTCCAACTCCTGCTCACTTCATACCCTCAAAGTAGGTGAGGTATTTAACTCGTTCGTCACTGCCCACTGCAAGACATGCTCACTTTGGAATGTAGTTAGCATCTTTGTGCTTCTGTCAAAATTGAGACAGTAAGAGTCCTTCCTATTTTAACAACCTGTTGGAATAATATCTAACACTTATTAAGCACTCACTAGCTGTTGTTCTAACCACTTTACCTGCATTTAGTTATCCACTCTTCAAATTGATTTTATAATGAAGATAATATTATATATCCTTATATTATAGATGAAGAAAAAAAGACACCGAGAGGTTGGATAACTTGGCCATGATCATATGGTTAATAAGTGAACTAGGAGGATTCAAACATAGGCGGTCATGCACCAAAGCCCACACTCTTAACCACTATATTATAACTATAATTGCCTCCCTTGTGTCACAAGAGAGTAGAATAACTTAATATTTAAGTACCTACTCTCTGAAAGCTGCATTCTCTGACCTGGGAGATACCAAGATGAATAAGACATTTCTTGTCCTCAGAGCTTCCAACTTAGTGAGAAGACAAAGAGGTAAATTCCCAGCATAATAGAAGACAGAGTGATAGGATAGCTAATTAAGTAATAAATTTTTGGCATGTAGATGAAAAAGTGATCATTTCAGGGCTACACTATATGCTTGTGAAGGTTGTGCCAAAAGAGGGGGCAGCAATTCCATCATAGACATGGAGATTTACACATTGGTTATGACAATTTTTCCAGCAGTAGGTAATAAAACATTGTCTTAGTAAAGTACATATAATATGACAGTTTCCCAACAGATAGAAAACAAGTGTGTTGAGGAAAAGGCATTAAATGGTCTGGGAATGGCCCTGATTAATTCTGAGTAGGGGAAATCAGAGAAGAATTCATGAAGGAAGTGTCATTTAAGCTAGACCTTGGAGAACAAGTAGGATTTTGAAACAGGGACTACGAGGGAGGAAGGACATTCTGGGAAATGAGCAAAGGCTGGGAGTTATGGAAATTCCAAGGAAGGGTAGATAATTCATCTTGATAGGAGGTTAGAGTATGGGGAGAATTAGTGGGAGATGGGTCATGGCATGTAGTGGGACAGAATACGGTTAAATGTCCTTGAACACCAAGCAAAGGAGCTGAGTCTTTACTGTATAGAAAGAGAGAAGTCATCAAAGGGTTTTGGCAGGGGAGGGTATGACCTAACCTGCATGTTGGGAAGAATCCTTGGTGCAAGATGAAGAAAGGTGGAACAGGGAGACTGGAGACTGTTACCAGCCAAGAGGTGATAAATGCCTGAACTGATGGGAGGTGGTGAGAACAGGGAGGAGGAAACGGAGGAACATTTAAGACTTTGTAACTAACCAAACCTGAAAGCGGAGGCTGAAGGAAAAGTTAGAGATGTCAAAGTTAAGAAAGTCAGAGACTTGCTTGTGAACTTGTCAGCTGGTGTAACTTTCAATAGGAAAGATCTTACCATTCTCCTAAATGTCAAATTCAACCACAGAAAGTTTTAAAAAAGACTTTATGCTTCAGATCAATGTTGATATTGGGAGTGCAAACACCAAAGCATGCATTTAAAAAGAGACTATAGGCAAAAAAGAATTTTTTTCCTGATACCAAATCATTGAGCTCAATGACCACTTTAGCCTACCTGAGTCAATCTTCCTACTAACCTTCGCTCCGCCCACAAACAATTCCCCTAAAACCGTCATAGATACTGATAGCTCAATAGTTAACAGAAATAGAACTTCTTATTCTAAGATGAGTCAAAGGAACAGTGGTAGGACAATTCTGCAGGTTTTTTTACTCTGGTATTAACTGAGAAAGAAAATATCATCTCAATAGCTGAATTAATTAGCTTTCATTCTGAGGTGGCAACACAATATTATCATTATATCACTTAAATATGAGTACATATACTGTATTTATACTTATGCAAATCTATCCGTACACATACCTCTGCCTCTATCTTGTGCATATTCAACAATGCCCATATCAGAAAAGTCATTGGAAAATGAATGGAAAGGAAATTCACTGAGGAATAGAGGCTCCCTGGTAATAAAAGATAAGTAGACAGGACTGGCATTGCCATCTGAGGAACGTGTAGCTGGGGGGGGGCGGTGCTGGTTCCTGGAGTGGCAGGAAAATAGCTATAGAATGCTAAAATGGATCCATCAAATATGCCGAATATCACACATCCTGCTTTTCTGCTTCTTTATAGAGAAGGAACCCACATACCACACCCTAGTCCCAACTCATATATACACACATGTGCATGTGTATACATACGCGCACATACAAACGCACAAGCACAGGCACACACCAGACTCCAGTGACTGACAGTAGGCTGCCCATTACTTTGAAATCAATAAAATATTCGTTGTTTAAAACCTTAAGGGTCTTCATGCTTTTTTATTTATTTATTTATTTATCTTGTGAGGAGATCTGCCCTGTGCTAACATTTGCCAATCCTCCTCTTTTTTTGCTGAGGAAGACTGGCCCTGGGCTAACATCCACGCCCATCCTCCTCCACTTTATATGGGAGGCCGCCACAGCATGGCTTGCCAAGCAGTGCGTCGGTGCGCACCTGGGATCTGAACCGGCGAAACCCTGGGCCACCGCAGCGGAGCGCGAGCACTTAACCGCTTGCGCCACCTGCCAGCCCCCTTCATGCTCTTTAAATAGCAACAAACACACAGTGCCAAGCAACTAGTGATGTTTACATCCAATAACGATCTAAATAGAGTCAGCCCTTAGGTCTGTCTCAGCACACTGTAGAATACAAAGGACTCCCCACCCACTTACCTAGGACTTATTTTGTATCAGGCACTGTTCTAAACACTTTGCATATGGCGATTCATTTAATATTCGTAACAGTCTTATGAGTTAGATTCTACGATTATCTCCCTCTTACAGATAAGGAGACTGAATTACACAGAAATTAAGTAGTTTGCTCAAGGTCTTACAGATAGTAAATGGTAGAGCTCAGATTTGAACCCTGATAGGCTCAGTTCCAAACTCTATGCTCTTAATCACTACATTATATTGTCCTTCTAGTAAGGAGCTTACATTCTTAAAAATTGTCCTTAGCTATTAATCTCCCCAAATCTCATACCACGTGTTAAGTGCTCCACAGTTTCTTCTCTATCTCCAAAACTTCTTCAAAAACATTCTGCTCTCCCTCCCCCACCCCAGCTGTCTTTTCCACCTCTGTCTCACTGTTAGGAAGCTGCAAATTTGCACAAACTAGAGAGAAGGGCTGCCAATACTAAAATAGTAAGCTTTGGTCTCCATCACACAATTCTTAGTCTTTAGGATCTCAGCTCTTCTTGAGCTGCTTGCCGAAATTTTAGAACTTGATAATAGACACCTGATCATCTAACAGGAGCTGTTTCAGACTATTGTTGTTGAAAAGGCAAATCCTCAAACTTTTGAGATACAGTTGATGAAAACTATTGTTGACTATT